CTGAACTTAAATATAAAAGTTTGATAAAAAATCATCATTAAAGAAGAAAATTTCAAATGGCATTTAGAGGCTTTTGCATCTGAACTCTTCATATATATATATATATATATATATATACATATAACCCCCAAATCCAGAAAAGTTGGGACATTTTGTAAAATGCAATAAAATCAAGAATCTGTGAATTGTTAATTCTCTTTAACCTTTTTTTTAACTGACAAAAGCACAAAAAAAAATGTCCAATGTTTTCACTGGCCAAATTAATTGCATTTTGTAAAAATAAACAGATTTTGATTTTGATGGCTGCAACACACCCCAAAAAGTTGGGACAGGGGCAAAAGTTGTAAGTTGTACTGGTAATAGGTGAGGATATCGTGATTATGCATAAATAGACTGCAAGCAAAGTTGTTTTGTACCAAATTTCATGAGAGAATTGCCAAACAATTCAAAAATCCCATTTCTCAATGCAACTCTGCAAAGTATTTAGGTCTTTCACCATCTACTATACATAATATTGAAAAGATTCAGGGAATCCAGAGAAATCTCAGGCCAGGCAGGAGACCTCTGGTGAATGTGTGTAACCTTTGACCCCTGAGGTGGCATTGCATGAGAAACCATCATGATGCTGTGTTAAATGTAGCCACATGTGCTCTGGTATACTTTGGAAATCCGTTGTCACTCAACACAGTCTGCCGCTGCATCATTCAGGATATGCCACTTGAATCTCTGTTATGCAAGGAGAAATCTATGCATCATCTCAGATGGTCAAAAAGACAGTGGAAATGTGTGCTGTGTGCTGTGTTCAGATGAATCCATGTTTCAGCTTGTTTAAAACTAACTTTAAGTTCTCAGTCCCAAAGATGAAAAGGACCATTTAGATTTGGTGCAAACATCGGTCATGGTTCGAGGGTGCATCAGTGCAAACGGCATGTGTGTGAAGGTACCATTGAGTGTTTTGGGATTGTATCAGGTGAGATTGGGTAAAAATTTCACTTGCACTTTGCTTCAACAATTAGTATCCTCACTTCCCAAACATTTCAAAAGTGTAATTAAAAGCACAGGTGATGTAACACAGTGGTAAACATTCCCCGGTCCCAACTTTTTTGGAGTGTGTTGCAGCCATTTAAATTTGAAAACTTTAAAATTTGAAAATTTCAAATTTTTAAAATTTCAAATAAAACTTTGAAACAGAAAAATTCGAAAAAAATTTATTTGTGCTTTTTTCAGTTAAATAAAGGATAATGAGAATTAACAATAGTATTTAGTATAGTATAGTATTTACAGTATATGCTCATAATGCATGTAATACAACAAATAAGTTATAACACAAACACACACTATGTATATATGTATATAATATGTGCATATATATATATATATATATATATATATATATATATATATTTGTGTTATAACTTATTTGTTGTTTTGTTGTATTAAATGCATTATGAGCATATACTGTAATACTGTATATATATATATATATATATATATATGCATTAACTTCATAAGTTTCATAAGCTATTTCAATTTTAATAAAGAGTAATGAAAAATTTAGCTAATGCACTACTAGGGCATTCTGGGACAAAATGAATCCACCTTCATCAAAAATGATTTGGGTTTTATTTCTAGCCAGGAGTACTGTTCTTTTCATTTCAGATTATATCTTTTAGCACTAAGTTTACGGCTTTCTCTTCAAGCAAAATCTCTGTGCTAAACTATTTATGCGGTGGATTAGAGTAATAATTTATCCAAAAATAAAACTGCTGTCATTATTTTCTCTCTCTCATGTTTGTGGTGCTTTATGGGAAAGCAATGTGGAAGAGTGGGTGTCTAAATTACCTAATTTAGCAGGCGGTCAGTGACCTCTCCACGGGGGACTGCGACTAAATCGGAGTGGGCCTGTTTGGAGAACTGCAGAGCCAACCGTCACAAACCCTGTGAGATCCTCGTCTTTGCTGTAATAACCTCTTTTTCTCTTTGCACTACAGGTGTTTGACATTTCAGCAGAAACAACTTTAGGCTGAGACACAATGAACTCCACCAGGCATCTGAGAAGAAAAACGTATTTTTCTCTAGGATGGCTGGAAACATCTTGAGAAAGCTGTGAAAACAACTTTTGTGAGCTTGAAGAAAATGTGTGTAATGTGTAGCACCTTGTGATGAAAGAGAATTGGACAATTGTCAAATTTTGGGGCATAGAATTATGATAAACATGCCAATTGTTTCACTTGTATTTTCAGATCAAGCTTATTTTTCATTTGATGGATGATAAAACATTCGTGAAAATCACTCAGAACAAACCACTCAGCAATATCCTGACAGCCAACCAGAACACCTCACTAGTTTACTTTTTTTCACACACTTTAGTTGCATCGAGTGGTGTTAGTAATACCCTGGCATTAACCCAGAACACCTTAGAAATACCTTGGCATCAACCAAGAACACCATAGCAACAACTTAGCAACACCCTTGCAGCCATGTAGAATACCCTAGTAACCACTTAGTAACACCCAAACAGCCACTCAGAACACCTTGGTTATACCCTGGCACCAACACAGAACACCATAGCAACAACCTAGCAACACCCAGGCAGACAGATACCCTAGCCACCACTTAGTAACACCCAGGCGGCCACCACTTAGCAACACCCTGGCAGCCACCCAAAACACCTTAATAATACCCTAGCATCAACCTAGAACACCCTGGCAACCACTTAGCAACACCCTGGTAGCCATGCAGAATACCCTAGTAACCACTTAGTAACACCCAGACAGCCACTCAGAACACCTCGGTAATACCCTGGGATCAACCCAAAACACCATAGCAACAACTTAGCAACACCCAGGCAGACAGGCACCCTAGCCACCACTAAGCAACACCCTGGCAGTCAGGTACACTAGCCACCACTTAGTAACACCCTGGAAGTCAGGTACAGTAGCCACCACTTAGCAACACCCTGGCAGCCAAGCATCCTAGCCACCACTTACAGTAGCAACACCCTGGTAGCCACCCAGACCATCTTAGTAATACCCTGGCATCAACCTAGAACACCCTGGCAACCACTTAGCAACACACTAGAAGCCATGCAAAACCCCCTAGTAACCACTTAGCAACACACAGACAACCACTCAGAACACCTTAGTAATACCCTGGCATCAACCCAGAACACCATAGCAACAACTTAGCAACACCCAGGCAGACAGGCACCCTAGCCACCACTTAGCAACACCCTGGCAGTCAAGTACACTAGCCACCACTTAGCAACACCCTGGCAGCCACCCACAACACCTTAGTAATACCCTGGCATCAACCTAGAACACCCTAGTAACCACTTAGCAACACCCAGGCAGACAGACACCCTAGCCACCACTACCAACACCCTGACAGTCAGGTACACTAGCCACCACTTAGCAACACCAGGGACGCCACCCAGAATAACTTATACCCTGCAATACCCTGACAACAACCCTGAACACCCTAACCACCACTTCTCAACACCATGGCAGCCATGCAGAACACCTTAGTAACACCCGAGCAGCCATCTAAAAACACCCTGGCAGATGCTTAGCAACACCCAGAACATCTTAGCCAGCACCGCCCTGTCAAATAAACAGAACACCTTAGTAACAACCTGGCAACCATCCAGCTGAACCTAGCAACCACTGAGCAATACTCATTTGAAACATTTTTAAATAAGCTAAATATACGTATTCAGAGTTTGTCATGTTCATCTCACGTGATGACTTTGAAGTGAACGTGTTATCAGTAGTTCAGCCCAACAATATTGTGTGAACCAGAGCAAAAATGAAAACGGAGAAAGGAAATAATGCACACAAAAGCACCATTATCAGCTGGTTCCATCTGAACAATCACATCGTGCGCGGATAAGGACAGATGGATATGGCTGCCTTGAAGGCGTGGGGTTTCAGGCAGATTGTTACAATTCTACCCCAGATTTGAGAGCCTGTGCAGCACTGATGCTCGTTAAGCCCATTGCCCTTTTGAAACCAATTTCGGTGTCTCTGCACTCATGCCCGTGCGAATATGTGGTCAGCTTGCTTTTTCAGGTTGTCGCGCCCCATGCAGCGCTTAGCTCTGTCTGGATTATGACAGCTCTTTCCCTGCTCTGGGTCACCAGGATCAGCTCTCACTCAACACCACAGCCATAAATATAATCCCATCAGCCCCAGCATGGAAGAAGAGGATTTCAGGGTGACTATGAGGACTTTCCAGAAGATTAGGCCACTGGATATCTCATTCCACCTCACAAATGGAGAGTAAGATCGTCAAGCTGGGGATCATTTGCTTGCTTTACATTTCCACATGTGTCGGTTTAGATCTGTTGTTTGTACCAAGAAATGTCAGAATAATGCACAATAATTTGCCAAAATATGCTGAAAAACAAAAAAAAAAAACTGTATTTTACAAAGCAAAACGCTCAATTTGACCTTTGTTTCCAATTCCAAAAGCATTTACGATTTATATTTTGACTCAATATTTGTTCAAATTAAACAATTGATTTAATAGTGTTGGGTCCACCTAGTCGAGTCTATAAGCCCCTATTGAGTTTGAGTTGATGTTTAATGTCTTGTTATCCATTATATAATTTTATGTTGTTAATCATGTTACAAGTGATGTAGATTCGACTATACTTGGCAAAAACAAAAAACAAAAAAATCGGTTACAGTTTATATTAGGGTGTCATTTTTATAGCGTAAGTACTTGGTAATATTAATTAACGACAGCTATACTTACTGTAGGGTTATGATTAGGTTTGGTTTAGGAGCATTGCTGCCGGGTTGTTTTAACCCAACTTTGGGTAAAATATGGACAAACCCAGCCATTGGGTTAAATTTTTTAATTGCATTTTTAACCAAACTTTTGGGTTTGTCCATATTTGACCAAAAGTTGGGTTAAAACAACCCAGCATTTTTAGAGTGTATACCAACATTTCGGAGTTTGCGTGAGTGAGTCCGAGTCCAAGTTCATTCATAAATTGCAGTCTGAGTCCAAGTACCCAACTCTATAAAATAAGAACTGTCATGTTAAACATAAGTAGCCTATGTTTTAACAAATTGTAGGCAGCGTGTACAGTCCAGTGTGCAGCATTCAGTCAGTAGTAAGCTGGTGGTGATCCATTCCACAGTGATGCACGTTAGAGGCTGCAGTCTGTAGCGCCATCTAGTGCCTGCTGACTATATAATCACATTTGACAATCCAAGACCATGTGGCTTTGACATCAGCAGAGATCACAACACACCTGCACACTGACCCCAATCCTCATAAGGATCTTAATGTCAATCACTGAGACAGTTGTCAGTCTAATCCAACCTCTCTCTCTCTCTCTCTCTCTCTCTCTCTCTCTCTCTCTCTCTCTCTCTCTCTCTGCAAAGTCACAGTCTCGTGCAGGACAGAGGAACAAAACAAACACACACGGCCTGATGATTCGACAAAAACACAAACAGGAAATTATGGCATCAGATGTGAGTATATAAGCATTCTATTCTATTCTAATTTAATCTATTCTATTCTATTCATCCGTTTATATTTAGTTGTGACTGAATTGTTAGAGAAAATTATTGTTTTCATTAAAAAAATAACTGCATATATAGTCAACGTTTGGAATGAAGACGTGTCTTTTTAAATCAGTAATCAAAGATTCTATTTAGTGCATCAATGCTACTGTAATGTAAAGAACTGTTCATAATAAAGATAAAATATCAATATTCATGTTTAACTTGAGGGTAAATGTTTCTTATTTAATTTGATTAAACTACAATGATTTTTGTAAGACGCAGTTGAAAATAAAATATAAATATATTCCCTAGTTTAAACATGACTATTGTTTTTATCCTCTTTTTGTAAATTGTTTTTACAATACCAATATATATACAGTATATATATATATATATATATAGTAAAGTACAAAATATATCATATATTTTAGCTTCTTTAAAGCATGAGGTGCATCCTTGAATGTTTTTTGAAGGAGTTTGCTGGACACTTTATTTCCTTCATTACGTGTTCCAACTCATTCATTTAAAAAAAAAGTAAAAAAGTAAAAGAAATTCCTATTTATGCACAATTTCTGTGTCCACAGAGCAAATTTGAAGCATTTAGGTTTTTAACATCATAAAAAAAAAAAAATCAGTCTGTCCAAACTTTCCACTGGAAGTGCAAGATATCTTCCATAACAAACGTGTTTGCTGAAGTTTCAGGAAAGTTTGACCTGCCAAGGGAAAAATGCGATGATCCATCTAAGTGGCTGTGGTATTCAGCTGGTGTCTAACAAGGGCCGTCTCTCACGCACACCTGCCCTCCATCTGTTACCGACACATGGTCACATGACGCTCTCCTCCTCCTCCACACAGGATCATAGAGCTCCTGTTCAGTCCTCAGAGCAAGAGAAAGCGGCTGAGAACCTCCCCCTGAGACGCCCTCTGAAACTTGCCCCGCTAGAGCTCCCCCTAGAGGTGAGAGAGGCACAGTGGCAGAAGATCAGAAGTGCTCAGGAGGCCAAAGCACCGGGCTGTATTTCACAGGGGGCGTATCCAAGAAAAGCAAAGGTTTGTTTGCGGGACCGCCCGGCCAAGTCACCGGAACGCTCCCGTCTGGGTACCATCACAGTGCCCCACAAACCACTGCTACCTGTCAATCAAGTCAAGCTTGGTTCTGATAGGCCAGAGGGGAAGGAGGCGGGGCGAGGGGAAGTTGGCACGGCACATCCTTCTGAGAACAACTGCCAATCAGAACACGGCAACAGCCAATCAGCTGCTCCAGCTAGAAACCAGGAAACAGATAAGAGGCGTCTAAGACTGCGAAGGACCCGAGTACTAGAGGAGGATCAGGGCAAATCCAGCTCCTCAACAGGTGATGAGAGCAAACAGGCCTCAGCCGGCCCGGGCAAGGGTCAGCGCGCCGCCGACAAGGCCATCAGAGATGCCAGCCGTGTGCTGCAAAAGGCATCATGGAACCTGCGGGAACCTGGGACTCGTGAGATGGAGGCAGTGGGTAAAGTTGGGAGAAGGATGGCTGTTAATGACATTCAGGAAGCCGTGCTCTGACTCTTTGACCCGAAGAGGAAGTTCAACACGTGGTTTTGGGGTTAGAGACTTGAACATGGCAAAGCAGAGGATTTCTGAAAACTGCCCAGTAATGTAGAAAACAGAACATTCCTGATCCAAATATTTGTGTAGTGTAAATGACAGATTATTTACAGTGAGTCAGTCAGCGATTATCGCAAAATAAACCCAGACAGGGTGATCAGGACTTGGACATGAACTTTATTACACTATGCTTACTCAGTAAATAATAATAACAAAAAATATCTGTCATGGGACTCATGGATGTGTGTGTGATTTAGTGCTGTCAAAACGATTAATCGCGATTACATCTAATGTTTGTGAATATATAATGTGAGTCAGTGTATGTGTGTGTATATGTATGTTAGATGCAATTAATCTATTTGACAGCAGTAATATATGCATTTTTAATTAGATACAGCCTAATTTGCATATTTGGAAATAACATTGCAGAAAAGCTGTAATATAAAATTTTATGTCATAATGCACTGTGATTAATTAACTGGGGAAGTATGGTAATGTTTAATAATTAGGGCATAACAAATACCACGAAATTACCCTGGTGTCTTGCTTTTAAATGTTAATTTATGCAGTTTATCATTGTTACCTGCAGAACGCTTCGAGTGACCAATCAGAATCCAGTATTCCGGTGAGCCGTGTAATAAAATCCATTTATGTTCTTTATATAAGACGATTATTGTTGCTAAAACTAGATAAAAATAGAAAGTCCACATTGACAGTCTAAGAAAAAAAGTTTATCAAAACTAAATTTCAGTGATCACTTCTGTTCCTATTTACATAAATCAATAACATGTTGCTATGTCTAACGCAATCTGAGATTAATAAATAAATAAATAAATCTATCTTCTTTCAAGGGACAGTGCTAAATTACTAAAATGACTTTGAATGTCATATATAGCTAGCACTAAAATAACACTTTGTAAAAGCTGCAAAGGCAACAGAACACTAGCTGTGGTTATTATTGTGATGGATTATGGGAAATGAGTACTTTATTGTTAATTAAACCATTTTTAACAAGTTTATCCTATTCAAGGTTGCTGTTTGAGTGTGATGAACATTGTAGTAGGCTAGTAACGTTAGCTGAAGTATTTTTTTTAAGTCCCCCGCCCTGTGGTGAAAATATGATTTTTAATGTTAGCCTATTTGTCTTTGTGTTGTTTTTAATGTGCTTTAAGAAACCATGTGCAAAATAATAAGTCAACAACACCATGCTGAGTCTTTTCTCATTAAAACGTCAGTGAACCAAAGATCTCAAAATCGTGGTTTGAAATCTGATGTCACAAACTACCTTGTAATCAATCATGTCAAGGTCCCGGCGGGCTTTTGCATATTATTAACAGCGAACCAACAGGGAGTTCCAGGAAGGATATCCAGGTAGCCTTAGCCTATATTTTCTGTTGATATGAAAAAAATAATTGGGTAGATTTAGCAATATAACGTGCGTGAGTTGTTCAAAGCATTTCTAATGATTGTTAGAAGGATGTTGCCCGACTCTGACATGGTTTGTGTAACATAGCTGTTGATAACAAACCAGACATTAGACAAGCAAAGGCTAAATTAGCCTGGCTAATTATGTTAATTACCAATGTTTTATGAAACGGTTAGTTCGAATCCTTGATTCTGATTGGTCAAGAGCTGCGCTTTATTCACGATATGCCTATGACCGCTTCACCCGATTCTATTGATCGCTGTGCAACACTTGTATTTGCACACCATTTATGAATAAAAATAGTGATTTTAGATAATAAAAATATATTTAGGCATGATTTTTTTTCACAGGACAAAAACTTAAATACTGTGTTATTTTAGTGATCAAATATTATTTTTAAGGGATACAATAGGGGAACTTCAAATTAAAAGACGCAGAAGTCTGGGAGAGCTTAGAACTGAAACATTCAAATTGGTTTCAAGTCGGCATCAGAGCACCCCCACACTGAATCTAGTTCAAATTCATGGTTACGTAGCGTATCTGTTCTAGGCTACTGAACAACTGGATGCCAATGGAGAACACCATTCAAGGCCCCTGGCCACTAGAGTTTGTAATTGTTACATGTTAAAGAAATGGGCAGCAAATACAAAAACCTTCTTCCCATAATTAAATCGTAAGCTCAAGCTGTATTTTTTTTCCATAATGAAATCTTCATAACAGAAACAGATCGGAATGACCTCTATAACCCCACATGTCTCCTCACTTGAGTTCTTCAAATAACTAAACTTCCTCGTCACTTTTGTAGATCTGCATCTGTGCCAAACCATCAGTTGTCCTCTGCTGGACTTTGCCCTGCGCTAAAGTTAGTGTGACCTCCAAGCGAGACCCCTTACAAAAAGATAGAGGATGAAAATAGATCATGTTTCTTTTCAACAAGATGCCGCACAAGCAGTTACTTCCTGCACGTTTTTACTGGTGGATGTTTATTGCTGTGTGGCTCGGTTGTTGATGTGTTTTACTGTCCATAACGATGGGATTTAGGGAGTTTGGAAAGTGCATGTTTGTACGATTTCGTGAGTGCCCGATGCCTGTGAAAGTACTCTGTGGTAAGATGTCCAGATGAGACATGAAAAGTAAGACAGAAGGAGAAGGGAAAGAGAGAGAAAGCAAGGGTCTTCAGAGACACGCCGTGCACACAGGACATCTGGCATGTTCGGCCTCAAAGAACAAGACGATCTGACAGGAAAAACAGCAGGATGGTCGTTACAATCTTTAAAGGTAAAAAAAGTAATTTTTAATTGGGTTTCCTCAGAGATTAATTCGACTAATAGTTTGACAGTATGATACTGTTATTGATTAAAGAGATTAAAAGTCTATCGGATCTATCTATCTATCTATCTATCTATCTATCTATCTATCTATCTATCTATCTATCTATCTATCTATCTATCTATCTATCTATCTATCTATCTATCTATCTATCTATCTATCTATCTATCTATCTGTCTGTCTGTCTGTCTGTTTGTCTGTCCATCCATCCATCCATCCATCTTTATCTATCCATCCATCCATCCATCCCTATCCATCCATCTATCCCTATCTATCTACCCACCCATCCAACCACCCATCCACCCATCCCAATCTACCCATCCATCCACCCACCCATCCATCCATCCATCCATCCATCGAATCCATCCCTATCAACCCACCCATCCATCCATCCATCCCTATCTACCCACCCACCCATCCATCCATCAATCCATCCATCCCTATCCTACCCACCCATCCAACCACCCATCCATCCATCTATCCATCCATCCCTATCCTACCCACCCACCCATCCACCCACCCATCCATCCATCCATCCATCCATCCAACCACCCATCCATCCATCCATCCATCCATCCACCCATCCATCCATCCATCCATCCATCCCTATCTACCCACCCATCCATCCATCCATCCATCCATCCTTCCATCCATCCATCCATCCCACCCATCCACCCATCCACCATCCATCCACCCATCCATCCATCCATCCTTCCATCCACCCATCCATCCATCCCTATCCACCCATCCATCCATCCATCCTCCATCCACCCATCCATCCATCCTTCCATCCACCCATCCATCCATCCATCCATCCATCCATCCATCCATCATCCATCCATCCATCCATCCATCCATCCTTCCATCCACCCATCCATCCATCCATCCATCCTTCCATCCATCCATCCATCCATCCATCCATCCATCCTTCCATCCACCCATCCATCCATCCTTCCATCCATCCATCCATCCACCCATCCATCCATCTTTAACTTGTAGGTCACACTACCCCATCACAGTCTAAACAAGTCTTTTCACACTGTGTTTAAAAGAATAGTTCAAAAATGAATAATATATATATGATAATATGCTCACCCTCAATTTGTTCCAAACCTGTATGAATTTTTTTCTCTGTGTTCAGAAGAAGATATTTTGAAGAATATGGGTACCCAAACAGTTGACGGGCCCCATCGACTTCCTTAGTATGTGGGAAAAATACTATGGAAGTCAATGGGGAATTCAACATCCCATGTGTTTGGCCAATTAATTTGACTATTTACCTTAACTCAAAGGTGGCCAATTATTCAATTGTGAATGTTGCACAACCCTGGAGCATTTTGAAAACAGACACTTAGTTCAACTTTTCAAATCTGTGTTTTAATGAAAATGCACATTCATTCATTCATCGAGTGAACTCTCACTAATAGACACAAACCTTGGGGGTAAAAATCCCTCATCAGTCCCATTGGCAACCTGTTGTAGGCTCAGCCTTGCCTGGAGAGAAGAGGAGAGAGAGAATGAACTTGTGTGAGAGAAAAGGAAAGATGACGAGAAAGAAAGTGACAAAAATATCCCGGAAAGTTGCTCTATAATTGGTGCAGTCTGTCAGAGCCCTATTTTATGTGCGTGAACAGGGCAGGGCAGCCATCTCGTCCCCACTGAAACCCAACACTTAGAGGAACTGTTCCTCGTCCCGCCCACCTCCCAGCAGAGGAGAGCAGACTCCACAACACTGTGCTCCTCACTGCAGGATTACTGTGTGTGTTTGTGTGTGTGTTATCACACCTGTGTATGACCTTACCTGGAGCTTTATTTCTAGGAGGATGCTGCTTTGATACTTCAGGTGTCTGTGAGGTGTGTTTTTGGAGGAGGTTGAAGAAGATCTTCTTGTTCCTACGGATTGACAGGTAAGAGTGAAGTTCATCATTCATATCCCAAATATATCCCATCAGCACACAGTGTTTGATTTGTGATATTTTGATCTAAGATGTTCAGTCATCATATCTTGATAGCTCAGTCTGCTCTATAACTACTGCTTTCTTTATTCTTCCACTTTTGGGGGGGTGCTTTGGTAGAAGTAAAGGCTGTTTTTAACATTTCAGAAGAGGAAGAGTGAAGATTTCTGGTTTATTCATCTGCAGGTTGTTCCCAGGCTGGTCGTTTAGCAGAGTTTTGGAGTTTGGCCGCAATCGGGCCCTAGAGTGTTAGTGGAGATAGACAAACTAAAAGGTTTCAGAGACTCAAAATGAGAAATGTAATTGCAGACAATACAACAATTATGAAAACTGATGTTTTTTTTTGACAATTCCAAACTGTCCAATAATGAAATAACAGAGGTAACTGGATCAAATCAGTCATTTGCATTGGTAACCAAAAGATTGTAGGTTATATAGAGTTTGTAAACCAAAAATGATATGTTATACCATACATCCGTCTAATAATAAAAAATGTTTTAAGTTAGTCGATGAAAAAATGCAGGTCACGGCTAGTAACCAAAAGATTGTATTTATTGATCTGGTAAACCCCAAATAATATGTTTTACTGTGCGTATAATAATTAAAAGATTGTAAATTGGTCGATGAATGAATGCAGGTAAGTAAATGACTGCATGTTGCATGGATGGTAACCAAAAGGTTCCAGGGCCGTAGGGCTGGTAATGCAAAGCTTGTTGGTCATAGGACTGGTACTGTGAGTAAACAATTGTAGTTTGTCAAGCTAGTTAGCAAACGTTAGTACGTCAAAAGGCTGGTAACCAAAAGATTGTAGATTGGTCTGGTACAAAAATTATATATATATATATATATATATATATATATATATATATATATATATATATATGAAGAGTTCAAATGCAAAAGCCTCTAAATGCCATTTGAAATTTTCTTCTTTAATGATGATTTTTATCAAACTTGTATATTTAAGTTCAGTAATTTCACTTAAATAACAATTAATAGGTAATTATCATTGCCATTTAAGTGAAATTACTGAACTTAAATATCCAAGCTTGATAAAAATGATCATTCTAGAAGAAAATTTCAAATGGCACTTAGAGGCTTTTGCATCTGAACTCTTCATATATATATATATATATATATATATATATATATATATATATATATAAACGGAAAAAAAATAACAGTGTTGACAATACATTTATGCGCTTTTAAATGTTTCTCTATTTGCATGTGATGCGAGATACTGTCTGTCTGTGTGTGCGTTACAATGCAGAATGGCGATTTACTTCGATGGTCATTTTAACTGTTGGAAACAAAGCGTAAAAGTGAACATTAAAGATTTCTTATCCTGTTGCGCCCTCTATAGGCCACGATCAGTCAATGCTTAAAAGCTTAAAGCGTCATGGCAGAGCATTCAAGTCGTCTAGTCTAGTTGGTGACTATGACCATTGTGCCCTTGGACATGGCACTTACCCACAGGTTCCATTTGGGACATTGACCATATGGGTCAACTGGGTGAACTGGGTGTTCCCTTTCACAACCATTTCATTTTAGTAATGAAAAGAATTTAGTTTTTTAACCAAGCACTGGCCCATTAGTTTTAAAATGCAACCGGTAATTTAGGCAAATAGCTTGACCAGTTGGCTGGAAAAACAAAGTGCCTTTTAAAACGTTGGACTGCTGAACTGGCTGTAAAAACAGTACATATTGGCATTTATATATAATTTAATGTCTAAATCAGATTACATGTTTTACAGGTGGCTATTTGTTTTCACAGACACGTGAAAATCCAGTTTAAATGTTGTTTACTGCAAATGTATACAGTTAATGTTACTAGTTATATGAATCCAGGATACTTTCACAAGCTCAAAGAAACATGAGAAGACCTGCTGGTCAAAGGGTTCAAAGAGCTCACCTTGCTGGGACATACTGGGGACTTTTAAGACCAAAAGTAAAAAGCAAGCAAGACTTTCTGGGTCGTATGATGATAGTGCAAACCTTCATGGAGGGGGAAAAAAAGGAGGGAGAGGAATGAGCTATGGAAAGCAACAAAGAAAAGACACTGAATTGTGTGAGAGGAGGCCTCTGACCATTAGTTCACGAGGAACATAATTGTGTTCCTTATGTTCTGACTGATCCAAAGAAATGGGCAGATTTCCATAGATACATCAACTTTTGTACTGGAAACTTCAATTCAATTGATACCATTTTTACAAGTCATCAAAGTCCCATTTGCCATTGAAGTTAATTCTATTGTCCTCGGTGAAGGTTTTTCAGGAGAATAGCAATTTAATACACCTGAAAGTAGGGGAACTTAGCTGAAATTGCCTGTGAGGAAAGATTGCCACATCATCAAGGCTCAGCAAACCATAATTCAATGCTTCCCAACGTTGTTGCCTCGCTCCTTGATGACAGTGTGCTCCCTGGGGCGAAATCAGAAGAACACCCTATTTACAGCGAAACAGCAGTTCAGCTTAGCCAGAGGAGCGTGGTTAGTCACCAGTAATGTATATATAGTTTGGTGAACAGGGGAATGAATTACAGATGGACATAAATCATTAATCTGTTCACTCGGTTTTCTGATGGAGATCTTTCATTATGTGTTATTTATAATATTATGCAGTCCCCCCAAATACTTCATCTCACATTCATGCTAGCACTTTTGCTAATAGACAACAAACTATGCACTTAACAAGTCATATTTAGTATCACATTCAGGGAATATATATATGGATGAATCTCAGTCTCATGGAGAGACGTTTTCTACTACTCCTTTACCTATTATTTTCATTGATTTTACAAGATAACACTTTACAATTCATTTGTTAACATTAGTTAATGTATTAAAAGAGTAGTTATCTTTTAAAAAAACATTTGCTGATAATTTACTCACCACCATGCCATCCAAGATGTCCACGTCTTTCTTTCTTTAGTCGAAAAGAAATGAAGGTTTTTGATGAAAACATTCCAGGATTTTCTCCATATAATGGACTTCAATGGGAACCAAACGGTTCAAGGTCCAAATGAGAGTTTCAGTGCAGCTTCAAAGGGCTTTAAACGACACCAGACGATGAATAAGGGTCTTATCTAGCGAAATGATCGGTACTTTTAAAAATAAATGAAAAAGTTTAAGTTTTATAAGCACAAATGCTTACCTCGCTCTGTTCTGGGATGAGTGTTCGTGACTCTTCTGTCCATCAAAATGAACAAATCTTTTTTCGAGTCATGACTCGAAAAGTCCTAGATAAGACCATTATTCATCGTCTGGTGTCGTTTAAAGCCCTTTGAACAGTTTGCACTGAAAGTGTCTTTTGGACCTTGAACCATTTGGTTCCCTTAAAGTCCATTATATGGAGAAAATCCTGGAATGTTTTCATCAAAAACCTTAATTTCTTTTCGACTAAAGAAATGGTAAATGGACATCTTGGATGACATGGGGGTGAGTAAATTATCAGCAAAAGTTTTTTCAAAAGACTACTTCTTTAATACGAATACAGCTGTTCATTGTTTGTTCATGTTTGTTCAAAGTGCATGAACTAATGTTAAATACAACTTTTTATTTTTATAATGTATTAGCAAATGTTGAAATTAACATTAACTAAGATTGATTAATGCTTCTGAAGTGCAGTTCCTTCTTATTATTTCATGATAATTCAAGTTTAAAACCTTATTGTAAAGTGTTACCCATTTTACTCATGTGTAATACGCAAATAATTGTAAGATTTCTTTTTTTTTTAATTTATATTGTACTTAAAATGGTAATGTATTCACTTGTATACTGTGTTTATGAGCATCATTTTGTTATTGACTCAAACTAAAACGGCAAGTAATCAGGATTAATGTGGCCTGCACCAGTGGCACATCAGTAAGAAATGTTATAGCATGAATCATACACTCCACTTCTGTTTGCAATCTATCAATATAACTCCACTCCGAGTCACAATGACTGATCACCTCACATTTGTTCTCATTTCTCCACAGGAGCCGCAACTTAATGATCATCGCACCTTAGTGGGAATATCAGCAAACAACAGCGGAGAAGGAGATGGAGTTTCGATTCGGCCTCAGGATCTCTCTGGTCCTGACCATACTGGCTCTGACTCTGTACGGAAGGGGTGTTGAAGGACAAAGGGCAGGTGAGGTCACGCACTAGCCTAAATATACTGTTTTCATGACCCCTAACCACATCTCTGTTTAACTTTAGCTTGGTGGCTCTAATTCGTGAGTCTGTCATGTGTGCAGACTGAGAAACTAACAGCTTTGAGTTCTCTGTCAAATTCAGTCCATGGTACACTGACAGAAACACAAACCTCGTAAATCTGTGGCTAAACTCTATACACACTGTCTGTAAAATTGCATGTCTTTTGTCCCAGGTTGCAAGAATGTCCACTATGATCTGGTATTCATCTTGGACACCTCTTCCAGTGTGGGCAAGGAAAACTTTGAGAAGATCCGGCAGTGGGTGGCAAACCTGGTGGAATCTTTCGACGTAGGTGCGGAGAAGACACGTGTGGCCGTGGTTCGCTACAGTGACCGTCCCACCGCCGAATTCAACCTGGGCAGGTACAAAACTCTCGAGGAGGTCAAGCGTGCCGCTGGGAACATCCGCTACCTGGGTGGGAACACCAAAACTGGAGATGCCATCAGCTTCACCACCAACAACATCTTCACGGAGAGGACGGGGGCGAGGCCCGCCGCCAAGGGTATTCAGAAAGTTGCGATCTTGCTGACGGACGGCAGGAGTCAGGATTTTGTTTTGGAGCCGTCGGTTGCTGCAGCGGCTGCTGGAATCAGGTTGTTCGCTGTAGGGATCGGGGAAGCTCTTAAGGAGGAGCTGGAGGAGATCGCCGCCGAGCCCAAAAGTGCTCATGTGTTCCACGTGACGGACTTTGACGCCATTGACAAGATCAGGGGCAGGTTGAGGAGGAGACTCTGCGAGAGTGAGTATTGATGACTTTTTTTTTTGCAGTGATGCCATGGAATAACCATTTTGGGTTTTTTTTAAACATTTTAAAAATCTATAGAGCCTTTTTCCACTATAAAGAACCTATTGTCCTGTTAAAGGGATAGTTCACTTTGAAATTAATTTTTGATATGTTTTAGCTTACCTCAAAGGCATCCAAGATGTAGGTGTCTTTGTTTCAGCAGTATTTTCTAATTTGATATTTTTAGGTCAAACCGTTCTTGTCTGTCAGTCTTATAATGGAGGTCTATGGTCACCACCTCAAAGAGCATGCACGGAGAAGTCCAAATTAAACATGATTTAATGACTCGGAAATGTAAGTTCACATTGATGGCCTAAGACACGAAACAAGCGGTTTGTGTGAGAAAACGAACAGTTTTTATATCGTTTTTCCTCTAATCACAGTCACGTCCAAGTAGCGCTACTTTCTGTGCAAGCGCCGGAAGGCCCCGGAAGTGATCTTTCGCGCGTGTACGTCACTCATTGTTTACACAGAGATTTCAGAAGTGTTACCCTTCATTGTGAAGATTTAAACATATTAGATATACAGGAAATTGCAATGGAAGACGATTTCGATATTTCGCAACCGCGCAAGAGATCAGCGCCCGTGCCTTCAGATCACTTGGCCGCAGTGTTGGGTGTGACTAATTACTAAGTAATTAGTTACTGTAATTTAATTACTTTTTCCTTGAAAATGTAAAGTAAGGGATTACTCTTAATTTATCTGTAATTTAATTACAGTTACTTCTGATGTAATTGAGGTAAATACTGTGTATGGATCAATCCGATCTCAGCGATTCATATGCATTTTATGAGGTGTCTAAATATTACGCACAAATTCGTGTAAAATATGTATGAAAAAGTGTGAAATGTCATGAGATCAGACATAAAACAATAGTGGGTTTAACATCAAAATGTATTGTCTGATGCTAAAAAGTATGTTTTTATAATGTAACCTTCTCCACCTTGGTCAGTTTAAGGATAATTCATGCAATTTTATAGTATTTATTTGAAAGAATTAAAACAGATTCATGTCTATCCTTTGTATTATTCAGCTGGTTGAGATTGATATGGGATTTTGAAAGTAATTAGTAATTAAAAGTAATTAAATACTTTTTAGAGAGAGTAATTAGCACAGTAATCTAATTACACTGTTGAAGAGGTAATTAGTAACTAGTAATTAATTACTTTTTTAGAGTAACTTACCCAACACTGCTTGGCCGTGGCTGTGGTTACAAGAGGTAAAAACGATATAAATACTGTTCGTTTTCTCACACAAACCGCTCGTTTTGTGTCTTAGGCCATCAATGTGTACTTTCATTTACGAGTCATTAAATCATGTTTAATTTGGACTTCTCTGTGCATGCTCTTTGAGGTGGTGACCATAGACATCCATTATATGACTGACAGACATGAACGGTTTGACCTAAAAATATCCAAATCGAAACTACTATCTTGGATGCCCTTGAGGTAAGCTAAAACATACCAAAAATTAATTTCAAAGTGAACTATCCCTTTAAATAGTTCCAGGGACAGAAACATATATGACAGTACATTTCTTTACATAGTCAGATAGGTTAGGTGGGATTTGACTTATCACAGAGTCAGCTTGACTGTTGACCGACTAAAAACATCAGTCATTTGATATGCTTTTGTTGGCACACATTCCCATTCACAAGAAGGTCTGTTCTGTTCCATACAAGACTTGCTGGACAGGAACTGGAAGCTCTTTGGCCACGGCATTTGTGTGGTTTCTTGCCTCGGTGAGCTCCGAGTAAAGAGGTGTAGTAAATACAGAAGAGCTCAAGTGCTTTTCCAGATCACATCGGATAACTTAAAAGTACATGTGGGATAGTCATTGGAGGCCATTACAAACAACAAGCTTGCATTAAAACTATGAATATAGATTCAAAAATACATAAACCCAACCCGTTGAGGTATGTGGCCTGGATTGACCATGCAAATGCAAATTATGTGTGCATGTAGTATGTTTTTAGTGATGATGGATGCTTAGCCTTGACATTCCTCTCTAAAATTAGCGTGAACGGGAGAGCGACGACACCTGGAGCTCTTCAGTTTAAAGTGGAAATCTGAGTCCGGAGTAGCACTTCCGCTTTCCAGAACTCTTGTGTAGTCAAAGCGGTATTTTGTTGAAGGTACAATCATTGGGATTTGAAGAGTTTGTAACACAAGCCTTCTCCGATGCCTGCTTTAAATCAGACAGCCAAGTGGGAAGATAGGGAACCATTGGACTTGGCAGGGAGATGGAGAGATTACAAGAGAAAGAGATAAACTGATGTATTGTAACCCTTGACCCTGCCCAGATTCCAACCAAAGGTCCTCCTCTGAGTGACTTTACGAGACTCAGAAGTGCAGAGATATCGACTCAAACATTTCACTGCCAGCTTTAGACTTTGATTAACCTTTAAGAATTTCGAACTGAATGTCAGGTCCAGTTCTGTGATTACCAAGATAATCTGGCACTAGCATTGGCATCTAAGAATACTGGTGGCTAGAAATCATGGCATCTCCAAGGTCCAAGTTATTTTTGCTCTGAAAATTACAGTCCTAATGTTTCAAGTTGAACTTGGCTTCACCGTACTGCGTTTTTACTTTTTAATCTTTGGCTTTATGTGAAGAGATAAAACGCATTACCTCATCCAAGGGCACAATTAGCATTATTTTAATTTATGAAATGTGTTTACCCATAATGCAGTTTTTTCTTCTTGGGAAAGAAAATCATTTAAGGAAAATGACATTTCCTTCATTATAAAAGTTGGTTAGAATCAGTTTCTTGTTTCTTTCTTTCTTTCTTAGTAATAATAATTCAGAATTAATTGCAGATTGTGTTGTTGTTGTTGCATTTTCATCAGTGTAAAAGGGAATATATGATAGTAAAGTGTACATTTTTTATCTAAATTCATAATTATTTTTTTATACCAGGATTTTTTAATAATGATATTTGTGCTTACAGGGATAAGTTCCCCAAAATGAAAATTAGTCAAAGTAAAATTAGGTTGATATGACATTTTTCTTTCAGACGAATACAATCAGAGTTATATTAAAAAATGTCCTGGCTCTTCCAAGCTTTAAAGTGGGAGTGAATGGTCGTTTTGTCCATAAAACTGCATCCATCCATGATAAAAGTGCACCTATCCATCTTAAACAAACTCCACACGGCTCCATGGGGTTGTTAAAGGCCTTCTGAAGCGAAGCGATGAGTTTGTGTAAGAAAAAAATTCATATTTAAAACCTTATAAAGTAAAATAACTAGCGGCCAAACGAAGATACGGATTCCACTTAAGTGTAAAGCGGAACTTATGCGAGTAATATGACGTACTTCTGATATTTACACTACGCCATGACACACTCCGCTATACTTCCGACGTCAGGCATTTTAGGCATAAGTTTCCCCAAAATCTATAATTTTCCTTTGTAAAATTTTCTTACACAAACTTATCGCTTCGCTTCAGAAGGCCTTCATTAACCCCCCGGAGCCGTGTGGAGTTCGTTTATCATGAACAGATTCCCTTTTATGGACTTCAAAACAGAAATGGCCATTCACTGCCATTATAAAGCATTTTTTAATATAACCCTGATTGTATTCGCCTGAAAGAAGAATGTCATATACATCGAGGATGGCTTGAGGGAGAGTAAATCATTGGGCAAACTATCCCTTTAACTGTCATTAAAATAGTCTCACAATGCAAACAACAACATTCTTTATACAAAATATAATTTCCTTTTGATTAAATGGTATTCCAGCTCTATGATAATACGGGAAGTGCACTGGGCCATTTTTAGCATGCTTGAAATAAACGAAAAGTGCAAAGCGTGTTTGACTAGTAGTTTCATCACTTAGTGTATCTGGGCTTTGGTTCAGGTCGGTGGTCCACCCATGACCACAGCATGCCAGATCTGTAATCAGTGGTGGGACGCTGCTAAACAGAACAGAAGTGCACTGTAATATGTTGGGTGTGCTAATTTCCCCATGTTTGCTTTAGCATCTGTTGTCCCTGTTTCCTAAATCAGGTTTTGATTAGCTTAATTTCAAATAAGAGAGAAAATACTCGATTGAGCCATTCCATTGTGTTTCAGAGTATAGTTTGCACACTTGCTGGAGGATTTAGATGTGTTAACCAGGAAGTGGAATATTTTGGGTAGGACACAATAGAGTAGGACAGCGCATCCGAGAAAACTTGGATGTTAGATGTTTCAGTTGTTGATACTGGCATTCTGAGAGGTTTTAAATGCATGCAGTTGCAAGTGTGTTTTAGATGGTGGCTTTTTAGCTACCGTTTGAGGACTTCAAGTCTGAGCTAAAGTAAAGTTGGTTAAAAGTCCCCTCAATGACTCAACACTTTCTAATATACTGCATCATTCCCTAGCCTGAAATGTCAGGGTGATTAATTGCTAGTTTCATTGATCAGTTGGGCCAGCATAAATAAGTACATCAGCTTGGTAAATGATTTGTCATTTGAGACTATTTTATGAACTGACTAATGTCAATACAGTGCAAATTGTCATGTGTATATTCCGGCCAATGTTAATGTTGTTGGTTAAGCATCCATTAGATACTTAACCAACAACATTTTGCAGGTGCATCAAAATTTATTTTCAGTTATATTCATTTAACCAGCTGATTATCCTTTTTTTTTTTTTTTGGTGTAATCCAATCACCATTTGATTTGCTTTAAGAAATAAGCAAGAAAATAACTGACAAAGTCTTTGAAAAATAATGTAGAAATGCAGTACTAAGTCCATCATTTTAGTTTCATGGCCATTCACTAAATTACAGCCTTTAAGCCACAGCTGGAGGAAGTTGCCCTGGATAGAGCACAGTTAGAAATCACTCATACGTGCCATTTAAACAATGACGCACGACTGGCTTTTGATTGCTTTGTCATTTCGCCAGTCAAAGGAAATAGGTACGTCGAAAACAACTCTTTATGGACAACCACATTTTGTTTGTAACTTTTTATTTAGCAGCATCCCACATAGCAAGCAGTCTTGCGTCCTCAATCTGGCACTGCTGGCCTCCTGTCGACAATGACATGTCTCCTGTCAGCCAGAGCTGGGCCATGTGTTGCAATGATGGCCAATGTTGGTGGGAGGAGTGTGGCCCAGACCAGTCCATTGATTATCTGGTCCAAATCAGGCTTGTGACCATGAGCCATAACCCCTTTTCGCTTGGCTCACCTATAGCAAAGAATGACGGCCCTATAGTGGCCCAGATCTGGATTTGAGACTAGGACCACGAATGGGCTATAACTGTTAATGACCCGTAACTTGCACTGCACTGACCCTGCACTGCATATACAATCGCTTAGTACAGCCGTAGCTGGATTTAAGTCTAACATGTATGGTTCCGTTTTTATGGCTTATATCCAAAATGTCAATGGAGAAATTGTATTGAATTCTTACTTCCGGCACCGGCTGTGGGCGGGACTGTGATGCTCTATACTAGAGCCAGACCTATATATCGGCAGGCCGATATTACGCATTTTCCAAACTATCGGTATCGGCACTTATAATGGCCGATAAATGAATATTTCAAAAATAAAATAAAAACGGACGAAACACGCTTGAACCATGTCATGAGTGTTGGAGTTGTATAGTTTGTCCACCAGAGGGCACTCTACAGCGTCTCTGTTGGCAACACTCGTTGAGTTGGTCACGAGACATATGTTGTTGCAGTTCTCTTAACTCAAATAAGCATGCCAAAATTTGTGACTATCATGTCCAGTTTTGCTGCCGAGAGTGAAGCGTAATTAGCTAGTTATAGTTACGTTACGTTGTTACCGTGTAGTTGACTGACTGTCCTTTTAACTTAAGTATTTCTTTAATAGCGTTATATCAATGAGACGTATCATCTCTCCTTGGCCTGTTATATTGAAAATATATGTTTTACAATTTGCAGTATGACGTAATCCATTGCTAAATTATAGCTCATCATAGACTATAGCTAACCACAAAACTAATGTTATGGAAATCTGTTAATGTTTTGTTGCGATTTTCTGAAATAAAAAAAATGTAAAATATCGGCCGATATATCGGATTTTAAAACCAACAAATATTTGTATCGGTCTCGGCCTTCAAAATCCTTTATCGGCCGTGTTCTACTCAATATTTAACGCTAAAATTTTGAACTGAATCTCTGTGATAATTTCACCATTATCGCGAGGTAGTTAATTAATTGTACATCATTTTTATGTATTACTACCAATACTAAAACCTATTCAGGCTCAGTGCAGGGCCAGTTACAGGTCTGGGACTAGATAGGCCAGTAATAGGCTATTTGTGGTCCTATAGTCTTTAATCCACATCCGGGCCGTCATTCATTGCGGGATGTGGGCCGAGGGAAAAGGGGTTCGGTGGAACAGAGGCCAGATCAAATTTGCTATGTGGGGTGGGGTGTGACTTTTTGTGTTTTAGGAAGGTTGTGTGGACACAGGAACATGGCCTGTTTGCAGTAACACAGAAAGAGAAACCTCAAGCTATTATGCACATAAACGCCTTGAAAACGATACATGGATGCCCGCTGCGCTGCAATAACTTGGCTCACATAACGAATACAACTCAAATATAGAAAGCCAGGTGCTCTTTTCTCCAACCTTTATTTATCCCCGGGTGGGCGGCTGAGCTCTTTATTTATTCGTGGTCAGGAGGGTGATGTTTGGATCAGGGCAGGGTGTGGGGGTTTGGGAGAGTCACGCTGAGGACACTGTATCGGACAGAGATGTAATTGTGTCGAGTGACCCAGCCTCTGTAAAGTGGAATTCGTAGCGAAGTTGAGGCCTCTTAAACGCTACAAAGCACTTTTTATAGGAGCGATTAAAGAAAATTACAGGGTCTGATTGTACATGATTGTCAGGGACGCGATCAGCCGCTGTGGTTTGGGCGTCTGCCTGGTTCATGCCAAGAGTGTGTGCACATATAAGAGAAAGAGAGAGAGAGAGGGAGAGAGAGAGGCATAAACAGACATTGAAATCATTTGATCAATGGCATATTTAGGTATTATAGTGTGATTTTGTGCATTATTCTACCAGTGAACACCCATTAAGGGTGAATGGGAATCTGTACATCTTTTCCTGTACTCTCTTTTCAACTATAAAGTAACAAACAAAAGCAATAAGCAGTTATCCATAATGGTTAAGCTAATATTAGCATCCTTCCTTAGCACTGGCAAGTTCCTCTCCATAAATAGGACATTCTCATCACAGATGCCATAGTAAAGCAAGTCTGCTGGTGTTACGTTTCCTCCTGTCATCACTGCTGTCACTAGCTATGCATCGCCATTTGAAATCTGGCCGTTTGTACGGCCTAAATTATCACCGCGTTGACGTTAGCATAGCTGCACTCCACCAAACTCTAAGCTCACTGAAACTAATGTCACCAATGTCTCTATGTCATAGAGTCGTAAGTTATGCCACCATGTCTGGAGGGCTTGGAAAGGACCAGTCTGTCTTCAAGCATGGATAATATTACAGTGAAAGTCACTCTCAACTGTTCATTTTCCTCAGCTGCCACTAAAATCATACCTCTTTAAAGAGGGCGATGTTTACTGTTTAGAAACATTAGGTAGCTTATCATCCAAAAAAAAAAAAACACTCCTAAAAACCTGTACAGGGGTCCTAATATGCTCATTAAAGGTTCAATTTGTTTATGGGGCCATCTGGTCTATTTTTTTACACCATTTAATGTTAAAAAAAGTATTATTTTTCATTGTTCCATCACCTGTTCTCTCTGAACGCTCTGTTTTAGATTCGGTTTCTTAAAAACCTACCTTCCGAAAAGCGCAATCTGTTGTGATCGGCCAATCACAGCATGTGTCTGAAATGAAATTTCAAATTAATTTTGAGATTTATGAGACTTTATCTTTGTAAATTTGGCTTTGAGACATTATTCTTTTGCTTCTGAAACTCTTGTCTTATTCAGATGTCAGGAAAAAGTCTCTATTTAAACTTATTTTCTAACTGCAATTGAGATATTCAAGACAAGTCATTCATTATTTTTTTTTTCCTATGTGAAAAATAAGTGCCTTCATTGGAAAAAAAAAAGGTTATATCTATTTTAATCATAATTATGTCTGTATAACACAAAAGATTAAAATGCTAAATAATCGTGAGTGAAAAGGTTTGTCACAGGAGAAACACCTCGGCAGATTGCCTGCCTGGAACCACAATAAAATGTCAACAAAAAAAATAATAATTTCACAATATGAATTATTGATGAAGTCTGCTCTCACTGAAAGCAGATGTTTAGAAATTTCAGGAGTGTTAATAAAGCACAGATTGCAGGACTAAAAATATTACGATTCTAAGTGTAGAAGTGAATTGCTCTGTATAATCCAAGGACCTGTGCAGAGCTGTGTAGTTAAGGTCGTTTTGCCATACAATAATATGTTCACCCATAATGTTGTGTTTCTCTCTACAGATGTTCTGTGTCCCAATATGAAAGTCCAGGCAGGACGTTTCAGACCGAACAGCACCAGTGCTGGGCAGACGGAGGTCCCAGGTAATGTGTCCATGTTCTTCCCATAGTGCTTTGGTGTTAAAAGTGTCATGAAAGGCCTTCAGCGCTGTATCAATTCACTGTTCGCATCTGAGAAAAAGTTCTGTAATGAAACCAACTTCTCATAGGATGAGATGTTTTCAGCTCACCTTGTTGCAGCTCTAAATCCATTTGTTATACTGTAAATAAGTCTTCCATCATTTGCGACGTTAAAGGAGTAGTTCACTTTTTTTTAAAAAACTTTTGCTGATAATTTACATCCAAGATGTCCATGTCATTCTTTCTTCAGTCGAAAATAAATTAAGGTTTTTGATGAAAACATTCCAGGATTTTCTCCATATAATGGACTTCATTGGGAACCAAACGGTTCAAGGTCCAAATGAGAGTTTCAGTGCAGCTTCAAAGGGCTTTAAACGACACCAGACGATGAATAAGGGTCTTATCTAGCGAAACGATCGCTCATTTAAAAAATAAATAAAAAACTTTAAGTTTTATAAGCACAAATGCTCACCTTGCTCTGTTCCGTGACTCTCCTGTTCAAACTCGTTCATCAAAAATGAACAAATCTTTTTTCGAGTCATGACTCGAAGGGTCCTAGATAAGACCCTTATTCGTCATCTGGTGTCGTTTAAAGCTGCACTGAAACTCTCATTTGGACCTTAAACCGTTTGGTTCCCAATGAAGTCCATTATATGGAGAAAATCCTGGAATGTTTTCATCAAAAACCTTAATTTCTTTTCGACTGAAGAAAGAAAGACATGGACATCTTGGATGACATGGGGGTGAGTAAATTATCAGCAAAAGTATTTTTTTAAAAGTGAACTACTCCTTTAACATCTCACAACTAGTATTTTATGATCTTTCAACATCAGATGTGAGAAAAAAAGTTTTCCTCCTCTCACGGTTACACGGTTACATGAAAATCACCATACTGTATTTAATTTTCCGATTAGAAGTCAAAAATAAAACAAAGAAGTGCACGGCATAATGATTCTGACATATGGACTCCCGAACTTGCACTTCAGAGTCTTGTTTTGTGTGGATGTAAGTATTAATACCACAAACTACAAGCCTAGTTTCTACATTTAAAGTACTTTTGGATCAGAAATAAAGCATTCTTCTCCCTGAAGGTAATGCTTTAAAACATGAAACATTGCAGCGAGACATCGAGGTTTCGAAATAAGAGATCTTTTGCCCTCCTCTGTTCTAAGAAACGTGGAGTTCTTTATGATTACACAGATCTGGAAGGATGTTGTGTTTGGGTCTTCAGGGGGTTATGAGTTCCTCTGCGAGACTCCCACTCAAATTCATCAACCTAAAGTAAGAAACCAGACCAAAACATGGAGAGAGAGCACTTACCTGTGCAAGAAAATGACTATACAATCTGGTGCGGAATAGAAGGACTGATTCACTGCAGTCATATACAGACACTGCTGTATGTACAAAATGGCCAAGAGAGCTGTTTTTCATAAATCTGATGAGTTTGGGTCATGTTTTAATTGCCCAAATCTCTTGATAAATCCATAGAGACCCTGGAAAATGATTTATTTTTCTTCGTTTGACATATTTTTATATCTGCATTTGCTTCAAAAAAGTCAAAAAACGTCCTAAAGTCTCTAAAATGTGGTCGATTTGACTATTTTTTCTATTATAATAAGGAAAAGTGGTCTTCAGTGTTTGGGTGAAGTTTAAAGTGTGATCTCTCCATGTCTGAACATCATTTGTGGGTCACTGCGCTTTCCTCATCGTTGCTATCACCTTCTTGTGCTTAGATGTTTGGTTGCAGTTCATTTGGATAGCACCGACTAGACTAGATCTCTCCTCCTTTGGTGGCTGTAAGTGTTAATTATGGTGTCTTGCACCTGTAATCTGCGATATTCAAGAGAACAACAAGCTAAATCTTCAGGGAAATTCCAGGTTCACATGAAATGTCACAATTGCTGATGTTGCCAACATCTGCAATGCTGTTCAAGTTGGGAATGTCAGTGTTGGCCAAAGCAAGGCCAAAATGGACATAAAATGTTGCTGACTCATCTGTAAAATAACTTTATCAATGGAAAACTAGCTTATTTGTAGCACTTGCACACTAGATCACGCTCTGATGGAGTGTTTGACAAATGTGTAAGATGTGTTTTGAGGGTTTGGAAAGTTCAAGTATACAGTAAATTGGATTTCTGAATTTTGAGTGAACCAGATCTATGAAATTCTTATTGATCATCAGTGTGTTAGAATGCATTTGAACCAACTTTTCTCAACGTTTGGTGCACAAACCCTGGCTTTCTTCTACTGCAATGCACCATTAAATCAATGGAGTTGCCTTCATCGTTGGGTGTAAGTGCACTAATTTTAATCGTTCATAATTCAGCTTAGCTTTTTTACTAATGTATTAAGGTACATTCACACCAAATAATCAGAATAAAGATATCTATAACGTACAATGATAACAACATTAGCATCCTCTGACTATTGTTTATTCTGCTCGCGCTGCAGTTTTCTCGTCTGCCACTTTAAATAATCGAGCTCTTTAAAGCAGGATAGATTTTAATTGGCTGTCAATATCTTATCATCCATCACCTGAGGAAAAAAAATGTTATGAAAGTGATTCCAACTAAATTGTTTCTCTGTGCTGTTATTATTGTTTTAGTTGTGGTGTGGACTCCAATCCCTTGATATTTATTACGATTAAAATATTTTATATAGCCAATATTAGCTAGCCTATTCGGCCTTAGTATCCGTTAACTGTCCTTTATGAAACTTAAGGGCTCATGAAAAGACATTTTCATTATATTTACATGATTTGGAAGATGATTTATCCAAATCGCATTCAATGTAGGCTATGTTTATCAGTTTATTGTTTGAGGTACATTTTTTTGCGCATGCGCGGATAGGTGTAGGGAAAATTAGACCCATAACAGAATATGGGTCTCAAGATGCGTTGTTAATAGTTTCATTATTTTTAAGTATCTTAAAAAACATTGCGCTATGCAACTAAATGCTGAGGGGACAAAACATCAAGATGTCCATTTGGCGCATGCGTCTGGATCAAAGACTTGGCTGCAACCGCAGAGAAGTTTGTCACGCTGACACACTGTGTGACCGTTTTAAAATGCTGTCGTAGCGTTTTTATGCGGTGACATCTTGTGCTTAAAGGAACACTCCGACTTTTTGGGACTTTAGCCTATTCACCTTACCCCCCAGAGTTAGATAAGTCCATACATACCTTTTTCATCTCCGTGCGTGCTATAAGTCTGTTTGACGCACCCACCGCTAGCCTAGCTTAGCACAAAGACTGGATGTGACTGGTTGCAGCTTTCATACTAATCCAAATGAGTGGCAAAATAACGCAAACGTTTTCCTATTTACATGTTGTGATTTGTATAGTCACATAATGTACAAATAACAAAGTCAAATGAGACACAGACATCTTTAAACCGTATAAAACCTGGGAACTATTCTCTGAAGGTGAAGCACTGCTACTTTGACGGAGTGATAACCGCATCACCGGAGACACGCCATGGTGAGGAGAGTTCGCTCGGTGTTTGGGTAACAGAGTCAGCAATTTATAAATAGTAAAAGCGTAGTTTAGAGTCATGGGTTTTCGCTCTATTGTAAATAGCTGCGACAGTAAACAGGGGAGGTAATACCATTCACAGAATTCCAACTAAAAACGCTGACTGGATGAAGAAATGGCTAACTTACTCTGGATATTTATCCAAACACACCTAAGATTATCAAGGGACATTATGTTTGCTCGGTACATTTCAATGGACGACTATTTTGAAAAAATGGAATTTGCCACACGGACCATAATGTGCTGAAGGATACGGCCATAGCACAGACAGGACAAGTGGATCACCTGCGGCTGAGGTAAGTGTTCCGTTATGTTTTTAGATGACCTACTGTAACAGTGCCATTAGCCAGAGCTAAAGTAACGTTAGTGACACTATTATATGATTAGGGTATGAATATGTTTTTATCTTGATGCGGTGCGGACGCGCTTTGGGAAAAAAACGAGCGCGTTCACCGCGTTGAACTTGCACCCTGCGCGCGGTGTGCCTAGTAGCCTAAATTTGAAATAACCATGGAAATAACGAACTTGAGCGTGCAAAAGGGTACGATAGGCTGTGAGTTCATTGTGCAAAAACAATTTGTGCTATTACTATTCCCTTATTCTATCCTATAGTAATGCAATACTGTATATTATATAGGCTACTGTTGAATACATTTGGTTCAGCTAATAAATTGCATTTAAAATATATTGATTCCTGTAATAATAATTATTTATTCATGTGATATTTATAAATCTGGGTGCGTTTTTGGTTGGAAATCAATGAAACATGGTACTGCATTACCTGGTCTCCCCTGTTTATTGTCACAACTCATACAATAAAGCAAACACCCATGATAAACTATGCTTTTCTATCTAACGTTAGTAATTGCTGACTCTTTATTCCAACGCTGAGCGAAGCGAACTCTCTGCTCCTCGTCACGGTGCGTCTCAGGTGATTGTTATCACTCTGCCCAAGTAGCAGTGCTTCGCCTTCAGAAAATATAGTATTTATACGGTCAAAAGATGTCTGTGTCTCATATGGCCTTGATATTTGCACACTCTGTGACTATACAAACCACAACATGTAAATAGGAAAACGTTTGCGTTATTTTGTCACTCATTTGGATTAGTATGAAAGCTGCAACCATTCACATCCAGTCTTTGTGCTAAGCTAGGCTAGCGGTGGGTGCGTCAAACAGACTTATAGCACGCACGGAGATGAAAAAGGTATGTATGGACTTATCTAACTCTGGGGGGTAAGGTGAATAGGCTAAAGTCCCAAAAAGTCGGAGTGTTCCTTTAAGGGGGCTGGTTTCTATGGTCGTCGCGTTGTGTGCTGGAGTGCCCAATTGTTCGGATCAAAGCCATGCGTCATAACGCGTTCGTCTGTGCCGCGCCGCAGAACCCTCGCTCTCTCACTGTTTAAAATAAGACTCGCTCGTGATTATACGCTTTTACTCTCCACTCGCCAGGCCCAAATTACAGGTCCTGCAAGCGAAACGCTATCGAGAGAGAGAGTGTGTGTGTGTGTGTGTGTGTGTGAGAGAGAGTCGTGCCTGACACATGGAGACGCAGAGACAAACAGAGAGTTGTGGAAATGAGCTGAGCCTGAGAAACGAACAGCTGGAGGAAGAGTTGAACTGTGTGAAATCAAACAAACAGTAAACCGTATAAACATACAGTGATGTAAAACACTAGGAGAAATCAATCTAAGATGATGAACTGTGGTTCGGACACTACAAATTAAAGTTTTATTAGAAATGAATTGCATTTTAAAAAAAAAAGAAGAAGAAGAAGACGAAAACGTAGGCAGAGCCTACTTACAATTTTACATGGCATTACCTGGCAGTCAGCGCCATAGACAGATACACTAGACCTCACCTGGCATGCGTCAAAACCGCCGCCATCTTGGAACAGGGGTCTTGTCATAGGAAGTAGCTAGGTAACGCCGCTATCTCTGCCTTTACTTCGAATTCATTGATGGTGGCGGACTTTTGTGCAGCGTATGAAGTTCACGAATGAAATCTGAACTAGGAAGAATGTTTAAATAATAATAAAAAAAAATTAAAAAAAAAATTCTTTCTGGAATCAATGAATAAATACATGTCTGACCGTTGGAACGAACCAAAAAAAACAAGAAAAATCGCATTCATGATGATTTATGGTGATTTTATTTGCGTTAGACCTGTGTCTACTACATTGACGCTGATGCATTAAAGTGGAGGGGCTCCCCTGTTTCAAGATGGCGGCTCTATTGACGCATTCGTTCTAATGAACTGCCGTATCCAAGGTGAGGTCTAGTGTATGTCTATGAGTCAGCGCTAGCAGCAGGGTGCATTATGGGTAATTGTTTATTGAGAATTGATTTATGTGTTATTACAGTAAGATCTTTAAGTTTTTGTTATAGTAAAGTTACGTGTGTTAATATTCAAGTTGATCAGATGTTGTTGATTCATTTACTGCCTAATGTAAAAATGTGTCACTCACCGTCATGGAGAGAGATGTGTAAGGCAATGGGGCTGCCTGAGCAATTATTGCACTGTTTTGAATGAATAGTAGAAAAGAGTAAGACAGTATTGCTGCCTCCTATTGGTTTATTTAATAAACGCTCCATCTGTGGAAACACTCTGGGTCGTGCGGTGTATGGGACATGAGTGTTATTATCTAATGTTAGGAATTAGCTTAGTAGAAGTGTTAGCATAATTTAGCTGGTTAGACCCACGTTTTATTTGACTACCAGTTGCAATACTATATTTAAAGTATTTTCATAAATACCTAACATTTTTAATTTGCTGACAATCTAACCAGGTTTGAAGTCAATGATGTTGAACAGCATTGCTTCTCATGCGTCATGTTAACGAGAACGAGATTTTAGAGCAATATCTTCTGCAAACAACTGCTTAAATTTTACCTTGTCCATTGCTTCAGACAACAAATACCATATATAAGTAATTTGGGCTACTTTTTAGGATGTTAAACATCTCATTTTGTGTGTTAAAGTCATACCGAGTTGGAAAAACAAGAGGGTGAGTAAGTAATGACAAATTTCTCTTTTTCTTTTTTTGTGAATTATTCCTTTAAGGGGCAAATCACACTATACTTGCTCTATATGCAAATATTGATTCATCTATTGGTCCAATGTTTTAAACTGATACAGATTTCATGGTGCAAGAGATGTCAATTAAAATATGTCAATTAAAAAACTAGCACAGATGGAACATGAGAAAGTGTGAACGGCCCCTATGATGCTGGTCTGGCAGAAACCATGAGGGATTTGTTGTGCAGAAATGAAAAGTGCTTTTGTTGTTTTATGCATTTTTTTTTTTGTACTTTCTGTTAACTGTATCTGCTTTCTTTCTGTTCTCAGCCACCTGTTACGCTATTACAGACACAGACACACACACACACACACACTGGCCTAGACTTGCACGTTCTCACATTACCACCAAGTTAAACAACTCCAAACATCCTTCAGTTCAAATAATCGTAGACTGTTTAAAAGAGCCCCCGTTTGCTGACACGAACACACCTGCCCTAAGAAAACAACATGAGAGTTCATCAAGTGAACGTGAGATTTAACAGGCGGCATATACACAAACCATCAGCGGCTCATGTACAGTGTCAAGAGATCTTTTGAACGTTTAACTCGACCAGCTTTAGAGTGTCGCAGATCGACCCTTGACTTTCTTCCTCAGGCAACGCCTAGGGCCCCACTGGCATCGCCATGGCGACAGACTATGTATTGGTTAAAGGAGCGCCCTGGTTTGGCCCCTATACTAGGGTAGAAGGCCAATACTGCCAACCTCACACACACACACACACACACACACACACACACTGGAGCACCACTGACATAATTACACATGAAAGGTTGGTTTTTAAAACATCTGGTGCAGCAAGTGCAGTTTAATGAGTGTTGGCTGCGGATCTGAAGCATTAATTAATGGGCTGATACCCACACACACACACACGCATTACTATTTTTAAAAAAACAATGATGTCATGTTTGATCCCAGAGGCATGGATTTTTTTGTGTGAATATGGAAATTGGCCCGAGTGAGGCATGTTGATTTGCTCGTGGATATGGAGGAGAGATATTAACACTTAAAACACAGCTGATCAATTTCATTGTAATTTGCTCTTTACTGGGATTTGTTTCCATTTATGTCCATTATATTTGATTCTGATTGGTCAGTCATGGTATTTTGTTGTCAAATATTTGATGTTAATGTAGACTGTTGTCTTAAGTGATTTCTTATTTTGCTGTTAGTTTCATTGTTGCTTTTTTTTCGACTCTCTTTTTTCAACCCGGTCTCATCCCAAATCGTCATATAACTGACGTTTTGGGACGTCTTTTGACCATACGTCAATATTCGCCTTTTTAGGGCCCCCTTAAACGTCGGTAGATGAGGTTATGGGATCCTAACTCTACCCCATACCTAAACTTAACCCTAAACCTAACCCGTCACCTAACTGACGTTAAAGGTAAAGCGTCAGTTGTATGACGGCACGGGATCGCCATCTACCGACGTTTAAGGGGGCCCTAAAAAGGCGGATATTGACGTATGGTCAAAATACGTCCCGAAACGTCAGTTATATGACGATTTGGGATGAGACTGTGTTACTTTTTTCAGTTTTTTATGCTATGTATAATACATACATTTTAAGAGTCCTTAGGTCAAGCTGTTTGGCAAATGGGTGGAAATATATAAATAATATAATTAGGGCTTTCAAACGATTAATCGCATCCAAAATAAAAGTTTGTGTTTACATAATATATGTGGGTGCACTGTGTATAATTATTTTATATATATGAATACACACACATGCATGCATATTTAAGAAAAAAAAATATTTATATATAAATTATTTATATATAATATAAATTATATATAAATCTATATACAGTATATACATGAAAATATTTCTTAAATATATACAAGCATGTGTATATATATATATATATATATATATATATATATATATATATATAAAATAATTATACACAGTGCACCCACATATATTATGTAAACACAAACTTTTATTTTGGATGCGATTAATCGCGATTAATCATTTGACAGCCCTAAATATAATAGATAATAATATGATATATATATATAGTATATAATTAACGTTTAATTGTTCATTTCATGCATTATTTTGAGTCATTAAAACTTAAACTGAACTTTTCTGTTTACAGATTTTTTTTAGCACCGCCATATAAAATGTGCCAAATCAGTAAACGTGCCTAGCAAAAACGTAGAAGCTATATTATTTCATGTAAGCCTTCTTTTGTTTATTGCACTATGATATTATGTTTTAATCTTATTTATCTCTTTTTTTATAAGAGTGATCCTCTACTTTCAGAAAGATATGTTGTTATTTTGACCTGTCTCTTGGACTCCACCTAGTGATCATTGATGGAAAGACGTGTTAACGATATTCCACAGTACAACATGTTCCTCAATCAACACCATTGTAGATCCTAGATCGTTTCAATCAACCAATCAGATTTGAGGGACAAGTTTACAGTTTATGTCAAGTTTTGTTTTCTTCTCTGGTCTCAGGTTTTGATTTGATGGAATACTTCAACGTGAGAGATTTTCTCGGAGAAAAATTCGAGCCAGGTCAGACCCCGTATGTCCGCCTCGGTGCCATGCCCATCGTCCAACAAACACAGTAAGTGAATCATTACTTGCAATGGAATGTTTAAAAATGTTGTTTTTCTCCCGTTAACAAAGCTGTCTTTGTTTCTTGTGTTGTAGAGATGTCTTGCCGCAGGGTCTGCCTGATGAATATGCCTTCGTGACCACATTTAAGTTCAGGAAGACGTCTCGTAAGGAAGACTGGTACCTGTGGCAGGTCTATGACAAATACGGCATCCCGCAGGTGTGGACGACTGATTCTGGGGCGCCGATGAGGAGCTGATGTTTCACTAGCTCTCCATTTTACCAAATAAAACCTATATATTCTCCAGGTGTCCATCCGTCTGGATGGAGAGAACAAAGCAGTGGAGTACAACGCCGTGGGCCTGACGAAAGATGCGGTCCGGGCAGTCTTTAAGAACCCTGAGGTGGAAAACCTGTTTGATCGTAACTGGCATAAGATTGGCATGAGGGTGGACTCCAAATCTGTGTCCCTGTTCCTGGACTGCAAGCACATTGAGACGGCGCCCATAGAGGAAAGAGAAGACATTGACATCCAGGGAAAGACTGTCATCGGAAAGAGACTCTATGACAGCGTTCCCATTGATGTAAGCACCTGTGTTGAGGTTTACACACACTCTCATTTAGAGTAAGTTGCACAAAAATACTGTGAAATGGTGGCATCAAATGTTTAACCTATAGTATACTAAGGTACTGATTGATTACTGATTACTAGTCTCTAAAAAGCGTGCTAAATAGTGGTTCATGATTTGATGGTACTCCAGTCTTCAGAAGTTTACGGTCAGCAATATTCTTTTTAAAGAAAAAGAAAACTTTCTAATAATTTGTATTTATTAAAGGGATAGTTCACTTTGAAATTAATTTTTGGTATGTTTTAGCTTACCTCAAGTGTCTTTGTTTCTGCGGTAGTTTCAATTTTGATATTTTTAGGTCAAACCGTTCTTGTCTGTGAGTCATATAATGGAGGTCTATGGTCACCACCTCAAACAGCATGCACAGAGAAGTCCAAATTAAACATGATTTAGTGACTCGTAAATGTAAGTACACATTGATGGCCTAAGACACGAAACAAGCGGTTTGTGTGAGAAAACGAACAGTATTTATATCGTTTTTACCTCTTGTAATCACAAAGCGCTCGCGGCCTCAGATCACTTGGACGTGACTGTGATTATAAGAGGTAAAAACGATATAAATACTGTTCGTTTTCTCACACAAACCGCTTGTTTCGTGTCTTAGGCCATCAATGTGTACTTATTTACGAGTCATTAAATCATGTTTAATTTGGACTTCTCTGTGCATGCTCTTTGAGGTGGTGACCATAGACCTCCATTATATGACTGACAGACAAGAACGGTGACACTGAAGACTGGAGTAATGATGCTGAAAATTCAGCTTTGTATCACAGAAATAAATGTCATTTTTAAATATATTACAATGGAAAACAGTTATCTTAAATTGTAATACTATTTCACAATATTAACAGTTTTTACTGTATTTTTGATCACATAAATGCAGCCTTGGTGAGCAGAAGAGACTTTGGATTTTTTCATCTTTAATCTGACACAATCTTTTGAACTGTTCTGTACTGTATGTTTATGAAGTATTAAGTCAATCAAAATCACAGCTAATACAAACAGTCTTTCCTTTACAGTTTGACCTCCAGAGAATGGTGATCTACTGCGATGGTAAACAGTCTGAGCAGGAGACGTGTTGCGATATTCCTGGTGGACCAGTAAGTGCATCTGACACACACACACACACACGAAGATGGTGATGGGGAATATTCGTAGTCCAGAATTTCAGAATTCCGCCCTGCAATACTTTTCGTCTTCGATTCCTCTCACTTTCTTTCTTTCTTTCTTCTTTCTTTCTTTCTTTCTTTCTTCTTTCTTTCTTTCTTTCTTTTTTTCTTTCTTTTTCTTTCTTTCTTTCTTTCTTTCTTTCTTTCTTTCTTTCTTTCTTTCTTTCTTTCTTTCTTTCTTTCTTTCTTTCTTTCTTTCTTTCTTTCTTTCTTTCTTTCTTTCTTTCTTTCTTTCTTTCTTTCTTTCTTTCTTTCTTTCACAACACATTGAGTGTCTTTCCGTTTCCTCGTTCACTTTCTCTTCTCACTCAGTGTGAACAATCTTTGGCAACCGAGGCTCCCCCAGTCCCGTTGCCCACCCCAAAACCAACAAGTGCTGAGCAGAAGAAACCGGCCGCGGTCAACTGCTCCTGTCCTGCAGGGGAAAGGGTAAGACTTCCAGGTCAAAGGTCACACTCTTAAAGCTGGTGAACACCCACGTTTAACATGCGAAAAAATTGAATATTAGCCTTATGATGCTATACAGTAACCAAACTTATTTACAGTAGATGAGAAAGAAAAGACTAGGGCTGTGAAACGATTAACCCAAGATTAATCGCATCCAAAATAACCCAATTTTCTTAAATATATACATGCGTTTGTGTGAATTTAAAAATACTACACACACATATATTATGTAAATACAAACTTTTATTTTGGATGCGATTAATCGTTTCACAGCCCTAGAAAAGACTAATTCTTTTCTGAAGCATGTGCTGAAGAAATTTTAGTCATGCTAATAAGGAATATTTTATATTTTATAATAAAAATGTGACATGTTGGTTAACCCAAAAAAATAATTTGTAAAAGTTAAAATGAAATTACACATTTTAACATGAGTCTAGTATGATGAAATTATATATAATATAACAATAACAGTAAAATTAATATAATTATACATTTTCCCTTTACAGTATTTTATTTGCAACTTAAACCTCGATCATAACAGATTATTTTTTGTACATAAGAATACATAAGAATTTACTTTATATCAATTATTTGTATATATAATTAAAACAATATTTTTACAATTCTGGCCTCATTTTTGTTTCTCATTCAATTTCTCGCCCTATGGATATTTGTTTTTCCTGAAGGACGATGCTTTTAAAGAAATGAGTTTATATTGAACCTGTAACCTTTCTTTAAAGACATAAGGCTGGATATCAATTTTTTTCAATCTGAACTTTGGTTTGTAATGCATTCAGTTCCTTTTTGTAATGCATTCATTCTATAACCTCTCTGATTTCTGACCTCCACTTTCAAAACTCTCTCTCCCCATCCTACAGGGTGAGACAGGTCTACCGGGTGCCACGGGGCCCAAGGGTGAAAAGGTCAAATAGTGTTTCAGTATCACAACAACTCAAATATGCATTTCCGACGGGTTCCTCATTGCGTAAACTGTACATCTGCAGGGGGATCCTGGTCTTAAAGGGGCAGAAGGACCGCCAGGGCTCAAAGGGCTGAAAGGAGAACGTGTATGACACTCATACAATCTCTTATAAAGCTTCATTAACGTAATATTAGAAATATTTGCTGATTTTCACATACAAGTTAGAGAAAAACATGATTTATTTTTATATGACATTGATCTGTTTCCATCTGTTTCTCTCGGCCTGGAGAATAATTGATCGGTGTTGATTGATTATTTGCAGGGCCAGGCTGTCTCTATCAAAGGTGATAGAGGAGAAAAGGTAAGGTCATGAATTTAACAGCCAAACTCCTCAAGATAGACAAAGCACAGTGAATGTTTAGTCTGTGTGTGTGTTTGCGTGTGCACGTGTGTTACTGTCATTTTCAAAAACTTCTTTCTACCCTTGATTCCAAAAAGAACAGAATTGACATTCTTTTGAGGATAAAAACGATATGAATACCATATTTTGAACAGCAGAATTATGGGTCCGCCAACCTCAGAGGATATGCAAAACAAGAACACACTGAACACCCACTCACAGCGCTTAAAACAGACTGACTCCAGGGCAGAATTACCTCCGAATAATGTCATAATTAGCTTCATCAGTCAGGGAGAATTAGACGGCCGTGGTGTTGGGAACTGACATTATTTAAACATTAACATGTGCTTGCTGGCTATCAGTACATGTCCAGATCTGTGAAGACTTCTCGAAAAGAGTCTTATTTTGAGATTTCCACTGGGGCAAATTTAGATGCCAGCCGACGCCCACAGCTAGAAAAATGTTGCATGCTGGATTGGTCAGTGGAATTTCCTGCGGGCGACCTAGAAACGGCAAATGTGAATATTGACCCCTACTGTGCCGGAGCAGATTAACAATTACAAAAACACACACCCTAAACGATTATTATTCCTCATACTTTATGGGTTTAGAACTAACCCTAAACCCTAGACGGCGAACAAATATTTTCTTACTCAGTGCTTTTGTATTGTTTTCCAGTAATAATATCTCAACATTCTTAAAGGGACAGTTCACCCAAAAATGTTAATTCTTTGCCCTCAGGGGTTTCGTTCTTCTGTTGAATTGTAATATATTTCTATATAAGGGCTGTCAGTTAAACACGTTATTAACGGCGTTAACGCAAACCCATTTTAACGGCGTCAAATTTTTTATCGCACGATTAACTGTCTTTTTGGCCTAGCAAACTTTGTAGTTTTCTTTCACATGCTTTTGCAACAGGACGCGCGGCGAAACACATTCATTTCAATGGCTTGTGCCTCACGAGGACGTTGTGTTGCTTCGTTGACCAAAGCGCAAGCGGATCTAGCTAGACCGGAAACAAAACAACAGGCACGCCACACACACTTGTTTGGACTTGCCTTGTGAGCCGGCCAAATAGTTGGTTAACGTTACGTTTTGAGTGGATGACAAGCGCGAGACGCCGAAATGGATGTCAATAAGATTCTGAATTGAAATTTTACTTTTAAAAAATTGCCAAATGGTTGAATTGTGTTTTGTTGTTGTGAACTGAGCTCATCATCGCAGCAAGTCCAGTCTGAAATACCACTTGATGATGGCCACACACACACACAGCTGATGCGAATTCTCCGCCCCCTCGACAATATCAGGACCTCGTCAGTATTTCTTTCACTTTTATTGATTGACAGTGTTACATTGTGTGAGAGATTATTTGCTGAGAATTTTAGTGTGAAATTGAACACCGTATATGTTGTTTTCAATAAAAAATCATTTGCACAAAACAAGCCGATCCACTTTTCCATGTTGATAAGAGCATTAAAATGAGAAAAAATAATGGGACAAAGAAATCAAGAGACATTTAGAATAGATAAAAATGTGCGATTAACTATGACATTAATACGATTAATCGCAATTAAATATTTTAATCGTTTGACAACACTAATATATATAAATATGGTAACCAGACAGTTGACGTTAGCCATTGACTTCAATTGTAAAAAAGAAAAAAAAAAA